TGGGGGTCGTATTTGGGCTGAGAAAATTTATTTTGATAGTTGATTTTTCTCGCTTCACGGACGTTGTAAAGGGGGGGGGGTCGTATTTACTTTTTGGCCTTGTAGGAGTGGTGGTTGACTTTTGTGATTTTCCTGTTTCATGCGTACTATATCCCCCCCTCCCCCGCTTTAGATGGCTCGGTTGAATGAGGAATAATAGAGGGCCGGATGGGAGGGGGGTGGTCGTACGGACTCGACCAACATCCCTAACCAATGGTGTGCCCTGTTGTGGCTTCTTATATGGTTTCAATACTTTCAGAGCCGAGTCTATAACGTATTTGGGTAGAACGCTTCAGGTGCGCCTCTGCATTTTTTTCCAGGGCTTTTCGTGCGTTGGGGATTCGTTGAGGAGCAATGGGGGGGAAGGGGAAGGGGTCGTGCTTGCTTTCGAGAAAATTGTGTTGTCGGCCTAAAAGTAACGGCGATTTTGCTCACTTAAAATTTCGTTTTTAATATGTAAAATTTTGCCATTGCATTTAATGTAGCTAAAGCAGGGAATTTTCTATCAAATAACATAGGACACACTGGCGGAATTCTCTTTTTTTTCTATGAAAACTTGTGATTAAAAGGAAAATTCCATTACCAATGAACCAACCAATATTTTCAGTGCTAACTTTTCTCGTTTTTTCCCCTTACACAAGCGCCCTTCCTTGGCCCATTTTCTGGGAAAAACAGGAGAATATCTCCGGAAAAGTGATGGGAAGATGGAAAAATTCAGGGATATGGTAGGTGAGATGGGGAGGGGAAGGGTCACTTGATTGGTGAGAATCGTATCAGGCTCCGAGAGAAATAGTTTTCGAGCCGCAAGAAACCACCACACCCCTCCCCCTTAGGTACTGTTCACAGTCTGCGGCCCAGCGTTTCTCTAGAAAGAAACTCTTCAGCGAAAAGCTTTCGATACGTATCGATTGGCGGTTGGGCGAAATGGTTTTGATACGTATCGACGGGCGGTTCGGCGAAGCGGTTGGGCGAAAAACGCTAGGCCGACCACCCTGGTCGTTTTTCTCTAGGGCGGAGCCTGCGAAATTGATACGTATCTATTGCATTTCTCCCAACCACCGAACGGCGGTTGGGCGAAACGAGCGGTTGGCGATTCTCCTTTGCGACCCAGCCGCCGTTTCGTCAGGGTCGCAGACCGTGAACAATGGC